GGCTACATTCAGAGTATAAGAAGCACCCAGATTTTCACCCTCTTTTTTTGGGGAAAAAGGTACGTCTTATACTCCAAAAAATATGGTATTTTAGCCTCTTAATCATGTTTGTTGCTCTTCTCTGCACCCTTTCTAGAGTCTCCACATCTTTTTTTACATTGTGGTGATCAAAGCTGGATGCAGTATTCCAAGTGTGGAATACTGCATCCAGCTTTGGTTGCCACAATGTAATATTTCTTTTCACTCTTTCTAGTGTGCTTAGCCAATACCTGCTGATTTATTTAACCATTTATCAGTATTCACATCCATATCTATTTGAACATTCAGAAATTAAGCATTGCAAGCAACAACAACAACCAAAAAAACCCCTTTATTGGATTTCCCCTTTAGATTCACAGATGCCCTTTAATAGCAAAAGTTTGCAAGCTTGTTCCAGCATGAAAGCAAATGCAAAATCAGTTAAAGATAGCTTGAATGGCTCTGAGTAGTAATTTCCACATCTTAGTGAAAGGTCTGGACATGCTTTTAAATGCAAGAAGTTATATTCAGACAGCATGATTGTCCTCTATAATTGGCAGTTGCCCACTGAGATTTGAAATTGGCCCAGCTTTTCTAGAGTTACAACATCATTCTCGGATTTCCTATGCAAGCAGCATTTTTTTTTTTTTTTTTGAGCAGAGAGATTTTTATTTCTCTACTTTTCTCAAACACAATGAAAATAAGTGCTCTGCCCCATTTTAAAGCATTTTGCTGGTATTTCCTAACTTGTCAACCAGAAATCTATTAAATCTATTGATTAAAGCAGGAGAAAGTAAAAAAATATTATCCATCAGCTGATTGTGGAACTGTGGACTTCTGATTATCACAAGATGGGGAAAGATGAATTAATCATTCGTGGTTATACCATCAAATAAAAGCAGAGACCTGATTGAATGACAGAATCATTGACCAGAAAGAGGCCTCTAAATCCATTGAGTCCAACGACCTTGTCAAGTACAGGAATCCAGATTAAAACATCCATGACCTATGACTGTCCTAGTGAAGCTCAACATCAACGGCATCTGCATTAAACTGCAGTGATGGCAATGCAATATTGTGTGATATAATCATACAAATGTTACATCAGACAAAAAACTGCTAAGTCCAGGTATTAATATGATTGCAGCATCACACACATATTATCACTCATACATGTCCACCAATCTCTCTAGGTAAATGTTTCCCACTCTTAAACTACTCTTAATGATAGACATGACCGTATTTTTCCAATATTCAGTGGGAATCTGCCCTCCATATCTTAGGTTCTGGGTCCTGCATTCTAAGTTGATAGATAAAAGATTTTGTCTGTCTTTTGTTGGAAGTAAAATCTGGTCCAGTTCCATGCCGGGAGAAAGACGCTGGAAATAAAATGGGGGCAGCCTGCAGGAAAGGAAGTCTCTGTTTATTTGGTAGCCAGAAACTAGTGACATGTTTTTCGGATGGCTGACAAAATTGGGTTGAGAGTAGGTGGGCTTTTATACATTCTATGGGGCTTTGTCCATTCCCCACAATCCAGTCAGAGCTGAAGAAGCTTCTTGGATGAAAAGCAAAACGACTTCAAAGAAAAACCAGAAAGTCCAGTTCCCTCTTGAAAAAGCACCTTTGGGACAAATCCTAGGTGTTTTGTTTGTCTGAGCTAATCTTGTCAGCTTCGGCTCCTTGCCTATTGTGTTGTTTATTTGGAATTTCTGGTTGCTCTTTGCGTATGAATAGATTGGCCCAGTCTTTCTGAATGGCTGCAAAATCTCCCTTTTGACTAGTGTCTTCCTGCTTCTGCTTGAGGCTGTTTTCCTATAACAGGAAGACTGGGGCTGCTTTCTGTCTTTCCTCTTCTCCTTCAGGAGAAATATTTTATTCTTCCTGTTTTTAATATTAAGAATAAGGAATATTTTATTCTGGGGAGGGAGGCCTTCCTACATTGTGATATTCCCTCAGCTACTTAATAAGTGTTATCATATCCCCACTAGTGATATAATATTTGGCTGTTGGCAAGTAGTATTAGAATCATATTCAACGTTTCAGCACTCCTTTGACCTTGACAACAACATGTTACCGAGTCTATCTAATGAACATCTTTTTTTCCCCCCCTCTGTCCTTGCTAGAAATAGAGCATATGTCAGAACGGCTCATTTAAAACCGAGGACAGGTAGAGAATGGCTGATGGGAATGTTCACTTTTAGGAAATTGAAATTGAAGAGAGCGATTGAAAGGTCTTGCTAAGCTAAGGAGGAGCACGTCTTTCTTTTGCCTTCCTCTATATCAGTACCATATGGCTGACATAAATGCTCCTTTCCTATCCAGTCTTCCAAAAAAGACTGGATAGGAAAGAAGCATTTATAAAAAGTGAGCACTGGTTAAGGAGTTGAGTGGGTTCCTTCAAGCTGATAGCACAATGTCAAGTAAGGCAGCTTGCAATCCAAGTGGGATCAGTTTGTGTCTACTTCATTTTCATAGCCAAGAATTTCCTAGTTTATTAAGGATTTTAAGAAGCAGGGTTATAAGAAATTGGTGGTTAGCCCAAATTTTAAACACTTGTTCCACTATCAAGCAAATGTTGCTTCCAGCATGCAATTAATTAATTGCCAGTAGTTTTCTGCTTTTGTTATCGGCCTCTTTTATCTGAACTTTATCGCTGTACCTCCTTCACATTTTTTAAGAGAAATGCACATAAAGTCTAAATGGATTGTACAGGTAGTCCTCAAGTTACAGACACAATTGAGCCAAAAGTTTATGTTTCTAAGTGAAACCTTTGTTAAGTGAGTTTGCCCCCATTTTATGGCTAGTAGCTGATTCAGACAGTGAGGAGACTGGTGTGGTGCTGTGCCAGCAGCCTGTGCAGCTGACACTCGAGTCAGATAATGAGGAGGCTGGAGAAGATGTGGTGCCAGAGGCGGGGATTCAGCCAGGGCCTTCAGAACCTCCAGAAGCTCCCATAAGTGAAGAGGACGAAGAGAAGGAGCCTCTTCTCGATGCACGGGCGCACAGACCTGCCAAAAGGCAGGAGGTCTCCTCGAAAGTAAGGCTTGGGGCTAATTGGCCACTCCCTTAGGCTATTTAAGGAGGAACAGAAATAATTTGCAGGGAACAACTTAGTTCACATACCTTGGTGTCTTATTTTGCTTATCTTATCAGCTTTCTGCAAATTGCTTCTGTGCATTCTGCCAACCATAGTAAGTTTTCAGTTACTCTTCTTTGAATTCTTGGCGGCTGTTAATGCAATTAATTAACAGCCATTGTTATAAAAGACTGGTTTATTCAGTAAACAAAGGTTTGAACGGACTTTGTGTGTGCTGCGTTCTTTGGGGTCCGTAGCTGGGGCAGAACAAGGGCTACCTGTATTCAATTCAATTCAACTTTTATTGTCAAAGCACAACATGTGTACAATGAGATTGGCTGAACCTGCCTTTGTGCACACAACCCCAACATAAATACCTATCAATAACTCACAGTGAAAGAAAGAAAATCCCTAACCCAATAACTCATACTAACAACACACAATCCTCTATACATATATGTGCGTAACATTGCATTATGGTATATTGCACCAATATGAACATGTTGCGCCTGCCCTGCAGCTCTATCATACTACATGCTTATGATGTTATGTTGCATTCAGGAGTCTTGACAGCCCACGGATAAAAGCTGTTCTTCAGCCGGTTCGTATAACTGACTATGCTTCTATATCTCCTACCCCAGTGATGGCTAACCTTTTCTGGACCGAGTGCCCAAAGCACACGTGTGTGTCCAAACCTCCAAAATGCAATGCATGTGCAGCCCCACACATGTACCCCACCCCTGCGCATGCGCACGGCCCCACACGTGCCCTGTCCCCCTGCACATGCGTGCATGGGCTCCGGCATGTGCCCCGCCCCTGGACATGTGCAAGTCCCCCCCACATGCATCACACCCCCACACACACGGCCCCCCACATGTACCCCATCCCACACACATACACATGTGCCCCCCCTGCACACACCACGCCCCCCCGCACATGCACGGCAGAGACCCAATGACCAGCTAGCTGGCGGGAGATGTGCATCCATGTGCTGTGGAGCTGAACCGGGGTGACAGCTCGTGTGCCCACAGAGAGGGCACTGTGTGCCACCTGTGGCACCCATGCCATAGGTTCACCAGCACGTTCCTACCCTATGTTAGGAGAGTAAAAAAGTGCTGACCAGGGTGTGAGTCACCCCCTGAGGATTTACCCAGAAATAACAGCAAGTCAAAATGGCCCCTATTCTTCAGACAAGATCTGAGATTCTCTCTCTCCTTTTGCTGTTTATATTGGCATCAGAACGTTATGGCATTCCTGATGTTTTTCTTCGGTCATACCAGTTTGGCCTTTTCCCTCCCAGCCTATGTTTAAACGATCTTGGGTTGCCTTCTGGAAATGTTCCAGCTTAATCTGACACTGAGCCATGATGATGTGTAAACTTTATCTTCCTCATCGCCCATGGATGGTCCTTATAAAGGAAGTGTATTTATGTGACCCGACCAGTTTGCCCAGTCATTGGTAAATTTCAGGGGTGGAGTGAGAAGGGAGGGAAAAGCTTGTAATTTTGAGTGGGAAAGACAAGCCATTGGCTATTTGTCAACCAATCCTCCTCCTCAAAATATTTCCCACCAACATTAATAGAACCATATCTCTCTCTAGGTGGATTCAACAGCAACAACAACAGCCTATCAAAGAATTCACCCAGGATACTATATCCCTACGGTAATGACGAGCTTTCCGTCGAGCTTTGAAGACCTTCCTATTTCAGCAAGCCGGGCTGGCTTAAAATTTTAATGGGTTATTTATGGGCAAAGGGTTTTAAATTTTGGGAAGCCAATTTGATTTAATTCTGTTTTAATTCATCTTAATTTTTATATTGTATGTATTTTAAACTTGGCTGTTCACCGCCCTGAGTCCTTCGGGAGAAGGGCGGTATACAAATTTAATAATAAACCAAACCAAAACAATGACGGAGTTATGCTAAAGACCCCCCCCCCCCCCCATTCCTTAAGAACACACTGCTGCTTTTCAAGCAAACCCAAGAATTTTACGGAGCAATATTCTAGCTCAGTTTTCCTCCACCAGATCTGCTAAATCATACATCCCAGCCAGGCGTAAACCGGTTGGCTGGGAATGATGGGAACTGTAGACCAGCGCGTCTGCTGTTGCCTCAACTCAGTCCGTCAAATCGGATTAAAGCGTGCCTTTATTTTCCCTAGCCGCAATTCGGAAGAAGGGGAGAGATTTAACTGGACAGTTTAAACTTGTACTGAGATGTTATAGGTATCGGTTCTCCTGCTTGAGCAGGGGGCTGGACTAGAAGACCTCCAGGGTCCCTTCCAGCTCTATTCTATTCTAAATCGGGACGTGGGCAGTGGATCATAACGGATCGTTTCTCCGTCCAGCTCAGCGTGGACGTCCTCTCGAAGGGTTTAGTTGCTGCGTTCGTCTGAGGCTTTCCCGGAACGAAGGAGCGCGTTACGCAAGGTTAAAGCGTAAGAGATACGCCGCGCTCTTCGTCCCCGGTTTTTCTCCCAGCTCTCCGGCCGGCGGCCGGCTTCCACCTGACTCTGCGAAGCGCAACGACCGCGATCCCAGGCGGGGGAGCTCTCTCTCTCTCTCTCTCTCTCTCTCTCGCAGGCTCCCGGAGGAAAAGGCCTCGCCAAGAACCGGGAGGAACAGGAGAGCTCGCCGGTGCTAGGATGACTCGTCCCCGGGAGGAACGCAGCCAGATGGCCGCGAAGCCTCCTGTCTTCCCGGGGAGTCCCCGAAAGCTTCGTTCGGGCAGCAGGGAGGAGAGGAAACGGGCGCCTTCGCCTGAACGATCGCTCGATCCGGCCCGCCGAGGCTTCCCTCCTCCCCGTCCCACCCAGCGCTCTGCACTCCTCCCCTGCCTTCCAATTGGCAAGCCCAGCAGCCCGGCCCCCAACGCTATATATGCCTCGTTCCGCCGCGCTATGGGGACCTGAGCGGAGAGAGCGCAGCATCCTCATCCCGCCGCACTCCAGACCTTCCCTGCCGTTGCGCGAGGAGGGAGACAGACAGATTTCCCCATCCGACGCCACCGACTCGAGAGAGAGAAAAAAAGTTTCTTTCTGGTCGCCAGGAATCCCGACTGCCAGGGGCTAGATCTAGATCTAGGCCGTTCTAGATTCCCCTTTTCGTAGCTCTTTTCCACCTTCCTCCCTCGTCTGACTTTTCAAGGGTAGAGCCCTCCCGCAGCTGGAGGTTCGCCGGCGTTTGAAGCATCCATCCATCCTTCCAACTAGTACTAAGAATCATGAGTTCCCCTTTGAAGCGAGCCCCCCTGCTCAGCTCTCTCGTAAAGCTGCGAGGTCCTGGGAGCGCACCTGCTTTGCAGCAGCAGCAACAGCTGCCCACTTCGTCCGTGTGCGCCTTGGAGCCCAAGGCTCAGGTGCCTTCTTGTCCCATGCACCCTCCCCATTCACTTTCTTCCCTGCCCGGTCCGGTCAAATGGCCTCTGATGGGCAGCCTCTTAGACATCCTCTGGAAAGGGGGCCTCAAGAAACAGCACCAGACGCTGGTGAGTAACCTGTGTTTTCCCCCCTCCCCTTCCCAATAGATCCTTCGCCCGAAGCTAGTGCTTGGCTGACTCTTGAGGGTCACGTATGGGTAGAATAGGTAGTCCTTCGAATGTCAAAAGCAGTTGCTAATCCTCTCTGACCTGGAGGTTTTAATGGCAGGATTAAGAAATATCCCTTAAAAGAGTTTGGAAAGTATTTCCAAGATCATTTAGTTCAGCATCCCCTATCGTTCCAATGGATGGACCCGATTGCCAAATTCCCAGGCAGCATCATTCCCTACAAATTGGATCAGGTTAATCCAGTCAGTCTTCAACCAACGTGGGGAATCAGTCACTGGGGCATCCTTAAACGGGTGATCGTTCCTGCATCGTGTTTTTTTTTTTAAAAAAAAAACTCCTTAAGTTTTTGAGATAACATGTTTTTACATCATGACACTAGGAAGTTCTTAATCAAATGCTTAATATAAGCCTCCCCACCGCCACCGTTTGAACAGATTTGTTGTGGTCCATCTTTCGTCTGCAGGAGACGCGCCTTATAGAATGCTAGGCAGCCAGTGTGTGAACTGAAAGTTGTGCGTTCTGTATGGTATATTTATTCGCCTCTTCTTGCAAGGAGGTCTGTGAGATGGGTGAGCCTCGGTGGCAGGAGTGCTTAGCTGCCCGGTTTAACCTCCCCTCTTCCTTCCTTTTTCTTTCTCTTCAAGGCTGAGTACCACCAGAGGTTTGGCAAAATCTTCCGCATGAAACTGGGGAGTTTTGACTCTGTTCATATAGGGGCACCCAGTCTGCTAGAGTCTCTCTACAGGAAAGAGGGTGCGTATCCCCAGCGCCTGGAGATTAAGCCCTGGAAAGCCTATCGAGACTACCGTAAAGAGGGCTATGGGCTACTTATCCTGTGAGTAAAGACGTGGAAGGACAACATACCGCTTTGTACTGAGAATGCCCTGTGCTTATGTTTGACTTGAGGTTTAAACGCAAGGGATGCTGAGAGCAAATAGTTCAGATTGCTGTTTCATAAATACATTTGAGACTTTGAAAGTAGTTTCATTATTTATAAATATTAAATGATCGTGGGAGAAAAGTCAAAGTGCCATTTGTAGGTGGTGGATACTTTGTAATCACCTTAAACCTATTTGTTTAGGTTTTCTTTAGGGATCTTTGTCTTTTGGGACCACGTTCTGCTGTTTTATCCTGAAAGCAAGCAAGGTTATCACAGCCAACCAGTGTATAGAAGCAATTTGCAGCATTGTCTCTGGTTAACTTGGACCTAACCCTCCTGGCAACATTAGAATGGAAAAATTGCAGCAGAAAAAAAAGAGAGGCAGTTTTAGATCTAATGCACGTAAGATAACATTCAAGCTAGAAGGGAAATGCAGAATGTGAAGAATGTTGTATAATGGTAATATAACATCTCAGTAAAAGTAAGAGATCACCTAATCACTTTCAGGGATTTCCTCCAAAGCTCAGTGGCAACGGAAGTATCTAGTACATCTTCCTAAAAACTAAACAAGACTCTCAAAGTTTTAGGTGAGATTAAATCAGAAGAATTCCAGTAAAAAGCAGCAGAAAACCACACGCATAAGGTACATTTCCATGTGTGCCCAAGCTTGACTAAAGGGAAATTTTGTCTATGTTTTATTGAAAGTAAATAATATATTGGGAAGCAAAACAATTTTCCATATTATCAATCTTGATTAGTCTGCTTGTTATCTTCCTTAAACAATATTAGCATTCACTTATGAAAACTGCCCAGATTGAATATTGTTTTAACATTTCCTCATAGACCTTTCATTTTAACCAGGAAATGTTAAATTTCTTTTAATCACATGAATGTTTGTTTTTCACAGAGAAGGGAAGGACTGGCAGAGAGTAAGAAGTGCATTTCAGAAGAAACTAATGAAACCCATGGAAATTGTAAAGTTGGACACTAAAATCAATGAGGTACTGCATAAGAAAAGTCTGATCCAGACACAGGTGTAATTTGTAATTTTTAACACTCTTGTATATTATGTGGACTGCTTTAAAAGAGGGAGGGGAGAAATTAGAAAATTATCTCTCCTGAAATCATGTGAAATCTTTCTTAACTTATGCCAGTTGGAAATCTTATTGAAACAACAATTTTGAATGGATCTCACTGCCTTCTGTGGCATGTAGAAATGTATCACATGAGAAAAAATTGAAGGCTACAACTTCCTTCTAAGCATGCCAAATTTCTATATGCAGGAAGAGGAAATATTAAAGTGAAGAGCAAATATTCATATCTAGCCTTCAGTTGCAAATGTTTTTTTTTTAAATTTGATTTATATGCCGCCCTTCTCCGGAGACTCAGGGCGGCTTACAATGCGTTAAGCAATAGCCTTCATCCTTTTGTATATTTATACAAAGTCAGCTTATTGCCCCCACAAACTGGGACCTCAATTTACCTACCTTAGAAAGGATGGAAGGCTGAGTCAACCTTGAGCCTGGGGAGATTAAAAGCACATTACTTAATTTCTATTTCACTTTACTATTTCACTAGTATCTTATAAGGTACTAATTATATATTTTTCACCCTCTGACTTAGTTAAAGTTACCAAATGAAAAGAGCTTTTCCAGCCCCATGATAATCTTGATCACCCCTTTTCTGTATGTTTTCCATGGCATCTGTTTTGTAATGCACTGATCAGAACTATACATGATATTCCAAGTATAGAATTGGCACACCATAGACTTGAAACCTTACGACAGTGATGGCGAACCTTTTCGGCACCGAGTGCCCAAACTGGAACGTGTGTGCATGTGCATGCATGTGTGCACACCAGAGCGCCAGAAACCCGAACAAAAGCTGGCCGCTGAGCATGCCTGTTTTTTGGCCATTTTCAGGCTGTTTTTCGGGCCGTTTTCAGGCTGGTTTTGGCCTGAAAAATGGCCTGAAAACAGCCCAGAAAACATCCTGAAAATGGCCCGAAAAATGGCCTGGAAAACAGCCTGAAAACAGCCCAAAAACAACCCCGGGAAAACGGCCTGGTTTTGGCCATTTTTCAGGCCGTTTTCCAGCACTCCAGCGCCCATGAACAGCAGCTGAAAAGAGCAGAAGAGCAGCTGGCGATGGCGCGTGCGCCCACAGAAAGGACTCTACGTGCCACCTCTGGCACGCGTGCCATAGGTTCGCCATCATGGCCTTATGACATTAATATTTTAAAATTTAACTCACTTCCCAGTGACCTTTCATTTTTTCTAATGCAGAACACTAAGAGGTCTTTTCAATGTCTTCCACAGGTCCTAGCTGACTTTATGCATCAGATAGACACACTCTGTAACCAGAACGGAGAAATAGAAGATTTATATTCTACGCTGAACAAGTGGTCATTTGAAAGTAAGTTTTTGCATTCATTCTGAGTTCATTGCTGCTTTTTATCTACATTAAAATGTATACATATAGGTTAGCTTTCCCCACCCTGGAGTTCTCAGAATGCCTTAACCAGAATGGTCATGTTGGCTAAGAATCCTGGGATTTTTCCTCCCAATAGAACTGAAAGGCACCAGGTAAAGATCAGGTGAAGACCCAGTTTGGTGTGGTGGTTAAATTGCTGGCCTAAATACCAGGAGACGATTAACAGTAACAGAGTTGGAAGGGACCTTGGAGGTCATCTAGTCCAATCCCCTGCTCACTCAGGAGATCTGTACTAGGGATTCGAACCGCCAAACTCCCGACCTTCCTGATCGACAAGCTCAGCGTCTAAGCCACTGAGCCACCTAGTCAGGCTTATGAATTCATAATTATGAGTCAGACCATGAATTCGAGCCTTACCGTAAGCATGGAAGCTGCCTGGGTGGTTTTGGGCCAATCACTCTCTTTCAGTCCAGCCTATCTCATAAGTTATTGTAGTGGGGGGAAATAAGAAGAGGAAGAAGTTTTAGGTATGTTTGCTATCTTGTGTTACTTATAAAATAATAAAGATGGGATAAACACCTTATAAATAAATACACATTTTCTCCATGTATAGAGAGAAACTCTGGCCAGTTGCTTATTACTGAATGCATTGTCCTTGGGGCTTCATAAGGGGTATTACCAATACTGGACATTATATATTAATTGCATCAAAAGGAGAGGATTGGGCTTCATTTAAAGTTCTCAGAGAGATATGTTAAGGAAAATGTAGTCAAGATTCTGGGAAATGCTTTTGCTATGAATTCTTCTTCTTTTTTTACACTAGGTATTTGCCTGGTGCTGTATGGAAAAAGATTTGGACTTCTGAAGCAAGACGTAGAGGAGGAAAGTTTGAACTTTATCAAGGCTGTAAAAACGGTATGAAAATGCCATGTGCCTGATAGCCAATTGATTTTCTGTAAGATATTAGCAAGTCAGCCATGTCTGCTTCTGTAGGAATTGCAGTCCAGGGACCCATCTGCTTTGCTATTGCACCTGCCAGCCTTCCCTGCAGTTATTCAATTATGCAATTCCAGCATGGAATTGATTCTGGGATGTATCATCTATAAACCTTATTTATGTAGGTCAAGGAACCTCAATCAATGGGAACTACTGAGAAGACCCAACTGGAGCATCTCTGTGTAGTTCATACAGAGAGATGCTTCAGTTGGGGTCTTCTTAGTAGTTTCCATTGATTGAAGTTCCTTGACCTAAATAAATGGAAAAAGCCCTTGCAACTCAATAAGAAAATAAGCTGCAAGGAATAATTCCAGCAATATAGCATAATGCCTTATAGTAGGCTGGGTCACGGGTTGATTGTTAGTTGCTCTACAGGTGTCGGAGATTTTTTTCCACCACCTTTTATGAAGATGCCCGGAGACTGTCCCTGGGTCCTTGCAAAGCAGGCATTTCAATTTCTGAGTGGTAGCCCTCCAGAAATACTTCAGATTGTTGCCCTCCAAATGGTGGATTCAGACTACATTCACACAAAACCCTTAATCAGATAAATGAAAGTCCCTCGTGCAACAATCAAAGCTTGGTTAATTTTAATCTTGTTAATTTGGGGAGCAAGGCTTGGCATATTGTGCAAACCCCATTCATTGGGTAGGTGATAATTATATATATTGTGTGAACTCTGAGAATGGGATAATTCGGGATTCGAGTTAAGATTTTATGCAGTACACTGAAATGTGTAAGGATTACTATGATCTCAGGTCCACATGGAACAGCTTCTACTTGGTATTCTAGTTTAAGGCCCAAGGATAGATCAGTTTATTGAATTTAAGTTAATCCTTTCTCTAACAGTAAAATATATGTTCTTTTGAACTTTCTCCAATACTTTAATAATGGTGTTTGTTCTTTTCATTATATACTACAGATGATGAGCACTTTTGGGAAGATGATGGTGACGCCAGTTGAACTCCATAGAAGTCTAAATACGAAAGTTTGGCAAGCTCATACAAATGCATGGGATAATATATTTAAGACAGGTAACTGAAGGACACTGAAAACATTTTGTGAAATATGCATTTGCATCTTAGGTTGGGCTGTGAATTTTGCATCTTGCATCAAAAAACCAGCCTGACTATCTGGAATTCATTTATTTTCCTGAGCCATTCTGTGGAATAGGTTAGACCAGTGTTTTCTTAAACTTGGCAGCCTTAGGATGTAAGGACTTCAATTCTCCAGTCAGAATTCTGGGAATTGAAATTCACATACCTTAAAAGTTGCCAAATTTGAAAAAGACCGGGTTGGATGAAAACAGAATGAAAATCTTTATCAAATCACTAAACACTTGTGGTTGAACAAACCTTTTATCTTAAATCTCCCTTAACTAAGTTCAACAGACTCGCCAATGTTCTAAAATGGATATGTAACTTTTTTTTTCTGTTATTAGTTACAGTTGGTATGAATACTTGGCTGTATGGCTTAAGTTCACCATGGAATGAGTAACAATACTAGAACAGACAAGGCAAATTTTTAGTTCTCTCCCACACAGATTTGAACATTATGCTTGTATCCTAGGCTTCCTTCAATGAATCTCAGAGAAATAACTGGACATTGTTATAATAAAATAGGGATCTGAACAGAACCCTATTTTCAGGGGATGTTTCAGCAGGTTCTGGCCAGTTCTGGAGAACCGGTAGCGGAAATTTTGAGTAGTTCAGAGAACCAGTAAATACCACCTCTGACTGGCCCCGCCTCCATCTATTCTCTGCCTCTTGAGTCCCAGCTGATCGGAGGAAATAGGGATTTTGCAGTAACCTTCCCCTGGAGTGGGGAAGGAATGGAGATTTTAAGTATCCTTCCCCTGGAGTGGAGTGGGAATGGAGATTTTACAGTATCCTTCCCATTCCACACCTACAGAACCAGTAGTAAAAAAATTTGAAATCCACCACTGGATCTGAACCTTATTTTTGCATACTAAAAGTCTTCATCCTTAAATGAAAGAAGAAGGAGCTTCCCTTTTTTGTAGACCAACCTCTTAAAATCGGTGGCTCGCCAGTCATGTCGGAACTCATTCTCCCAGAATCCCCTGTTTTCAGACAGGCTGGCCAGTAGTCCTGGAAAATGCAGTCCAAATACATTCAGAAGATGATAGACTGGGAAAGGTTAATCTAGCTTGTACCGTTTCCTGATGTTTTTTAATGTTTTAAATGTCTCATGTATATGAAAAAATAGACCTTTGAGGTTTCCACGCCATAATATTATTGTTTAATCATCACTTTCCTCCTGCAGTGAAATGCTCCATTGACAGCAGGCTGAAAAAACACTCTGCAAATCCCTCTGAAGACTTCCTCTGTGACATCTACTTTGGGAGCCAGCTTTCGAAGAAAGAACTCTATGCTGCCATTACAGAGCTTCAGATTGCTGGGGTTGAAACGGTAAATACTGTTAGCTTCTTTTCATTGGTAAATGAACAGTGATTTCGGATTTCTGTATATATATATATTATTTTTTAAAGTATACATCCATATTATGTGTGAAAAGTGTTGGATCTGAGCATCATTCATATTGATCCAATTTACCACAATATTAGTGTTCTTTTTCACATTCATTGAATTTAAATAATTCTCTTTATATTAATTAAACATACATACATAAACATACATAAAAGAGCCTTGGTGGTGCAGCGGACTAAGTGCTGTTATGTAGCTCTTATCTGCCAGCTGCCTGCAATTAGTGCGAGTTCAAATCTCACCAGGCTCAAGGTTGACAAAACCTTCCATTCTTCCGAGGTAGGTAAATTGAGGACCCAGATTGTGGGGGCAATAAGCTGACTTTGTAGAAACACCGCTTATGGGGGGGCCAAAAGCCCTAATAAGTAGATATATACAAAAGAATGAAGGCTATTGCTATAAGTGCATTGTAAGCCGCCCTGAGTCTTCAGAGGAGGGCAGCATATAAATTGAACTAATAAATAAATAATAAATAAAAAGAAGCCTAACATCTATAAACCTTTAATCTTTCTATCTATTATTCTTTTATTCTATAGAAAAGCAAAAAAGCAGAAATTTCAGATTTCTGATAACCTGCCACTCACCGCAAAGGCGTTTTCCCTTCTTCTTTCAATCAGAGCTTATTCTTTTAGGTAGCGTTTTTATAGTTAGCATTGAATAATGGGTTTTAACACAGGGACGGCATTGGTTTGTACATCCCATTTTGCTGTAAGATGCTGTAATTGTTGTAATTACAACTCTGCTGTAATTGTTTTGCTTTTTTTTTCCTATGATCATGATTTCAGGCCATTCACCACAATGATGCATTCTAGAAATATCTCCTATAACTCATATCACACACAAATTTTAGTCATGATGGGAATTATTGCGGAAAACCTATTGTGGAAAACCTACCCCAGGTTGAAGGAGCTACTGAACTATCTTAACCTTAACTGTCCATTATTTGGTACAATTCCATGGTAATGATAATTTGCAACTGATACTCATTACCATTGGTAGTTGCCTCACAAAGCTGGTTGGTGCAAGCAACCAGATCCGCATGTGTAAGATTCAAGCTAACTACTTTATTGTATTCTGCCTATACTACAGGAATCTCTCCAGAATATGTGCCTTCTCTTGGGAACAAACAGATAAGGTCCCATGGTATTTGGGGGGTGGGTGGGAATGTCAGCCCTATATCTCTTGCAATTGAGCAACAACTCAAGGCTAATTCCTCTCGCCTCCTTGCCTGTCTGGCAGTTTCTCAACACAAAGTCGCACAAAGCTTGATAAATTAGATGACTATTTAGACCAGTTCATGAAGTTGTCTGGAGTTAAGGACATGATTTTTTTTTCCCAGACAGACATGGGTGAGAAAAACACAAGGACATAAATGCTTGCTTGGCAGTTGTCATCTAGCGCTAAATAATTGTGGGATGGCTTCTGCAGCAATCTACCCGCATGCCATTGTGTCATCACGGTATATATTACGAATGTGCTGTATTTCAGATTCAGTCTCTGAATAATACCCACATAATATTATCTTTTCATCACTGAAAATATACCACCTTGCTTTAAAACACCTTTAAAACAGCTGCATCCTTTCCCAAGTTTGTGCAGTAGTGGTGGAGGGTAGCCATGCACATCAAAGAAAAGAGGTCGCTGCTTTGAGATACTGCATTTGGGCTCCACATGCTCTTTTTTCTGTCTCGAGACAGAATCCAAAATTCTCTACAGCCCTGGGGTTTATCTTTTTCATTCCCAGGTGTGATGGAACGTGCACCTTTGAAGGGAGAGGTGGTGGAATGGACTAATGGTGAAGCAGCAGTTTCCCAGAAAGGAGAAACCACATTCCAAGGAAGGGAGTCAGACAAGACACAACACAACACAATGCAACACAGAGCTGGATAGGAGACAGAGGAAGATATTTAAGATAGCCACTCCCTAGAATCTCCCAGGGTATAGCCATTAGAGTATAGATTAGTTTGGCAAGATTCTGTCTATATATTAATGAGCAAATAAAGAACTGAACTTTGGGTAGATTCATTCAATTTCTATGTCATTCTTGGATAAGGCTTGACATATCTACTGGACTATGTTGCAAACAAACATCCATCTGCAGTAGAATCTTATGGGATGGGAAAGTTCTGGATTTGTTGCCCTTGAACAGGATGTAAAACATAGTAGAATCCTAGCAGATATAGTCAGTTGCAAGTATAATTAATTAGAAATTACACAATTAAATGAAAGTAGACTTACACAGATATTCTGCCAGTATAATTGAGAAGTAACACGAAGGGTGTGAACTGGTGCTTCAAGCCATTGGAAATATTGTTGCCAAGTTCTAATTTTCAAAGTGGCAGAAAGGGGGAAAACATTTAATTTCATTTTGATTAAATTGAATCTGGTTTTCATTCTGACCCTCCATTTATTGTTACGTTTTGGAAGAGTGTTTTTAGCATGATGTTAAAGAGCTGTGGGAGGGAGTCTTTGTCCCTCCCACAGGTTGGCACATTCTGATAGGGTTGATGGGACCGAGCCATCCACCCAAGTCTGAAGAACTGAATCAGAGCTTCTTTCACTTTCCTATTTCCTATTTTGGGGTAGGGGAAGGTTTCCGTTGAATTCTAGAGAAATCTTATGAACGTTCTACCTGCATAACAGGTAGAAAATTTAGGAAAGAGTGTAAAGAGAATTTAATTCTGGCGTTGAGAAATAGGAAAGAAGAGATGGTTGCTCCTATAAAAGTTGAAAGCAGAAAAAAGACACTTCGAATGGCCCTACTATAACCTTGTTGTCCTTCAAAAAGGGCAGTAAAGATTTTGGGCAGAAGTTCAAAACTCTGTAATATACCTTACAGCATACAAGTACAGCTAGTCCTTGAACTGAGGTCTGAATTACGGTTGTAAGCTGTTACTTACAACTGTAAGTAAGCTGTAAGCTGTTACAGTTGTAAGTCAAGGCATCATTTTTTTGACAATTTTTGCAGCAGTCATTAAAGAAATTCTGTGGTTGTTAACCGAATATATTTTATCCAATGGATGTTTTTTGCTGGGAACAACAAATAAATCCTGGAAAGTGGCAAAAAACCACAGTCATATGAATGTGAGATACTGCAAATAGCTATAAAGGTTAGTCAGTTGCCAAGCACCTAAAATGCAATCGGGTAACTGTGTGTGTGTGCGTGCGCACGCATTCATGTGCAACCATTTGTAACTTCTAAATCAAGTCTTAAGTAACTTTTGTGGGCCTGTTGTAACTTCAAACTGTTTTTAAGCAACAAGTTGTAAATTGAGGACTACCTGTGACATTATTGGAATCATTGTAATATATAGGCCTGCCTCAGAGACCTGACAGGGAAGCAGCTTATCTAGTTTATAGTAGATGTACCTATATTTTTACCTATGTTTCACTTTTTATCTTTTTGCATGCAAGCCAACTTCTTGCTACAGATGCTCTGAACTTGCATTAGGGAGACCAGATTTTACTTATCCACACTTGAGACAGGAGGAGTAGGGCACAATCTTACAATACCAATATTTTCTGCATTTCATTAATGATATTCTTACGTTAAAAGTAAAGGTTCCCCTCGCACATATGTGCTAGTCATTCCCGACTCTAGGGGGTGGTGCTCATCTCCGTTTCAAAGCCAAAGAGCCAGCGCTGTCCGAAGACGTTTCCGTGGTCATATGGCTGGCATGACTAAATGCCAAAGGCACACATAATGTGTTTAGGTTTCCTCTATTAGTATAATAATTCAGAGTGATTTCTGTTGATTCTTTTTTAGACTGCCAACAGTTTACTCTGGGCTCTGTACAACATCTCCTGCAAGCCGGATGTCCAGACAAAGTTGTTTGAGGAGATACAGAATGTGGTTTCACCTGGAGAAAACCCAAATTGCGAACACCTGAAAAAAATGCCCTATCTGAAGGCATGCCTGAAGGAGTCAATGAGGTAAACTGATTCACAAACCAAAGAATAAAATTACCGTACTTTTCGGAGTATAAGATGCACTTTGTGATGTGAGGGCGATCTGGCTGCGACATCTGTCACCCCATTGATCGCCAGGGTTGATTCGGCTGATCTGGCTGGCTAGGCGGGTGTCCCCTTCCTCCCTCACCGCTCCATGTGCGTCCCTCCCGAAGCTGCGCGCTCGGTGGAAGAGGACGACCATCCCAGATAGAAGGAGTGTACCGATCTTCGGTCAAGGGTATACGATAGCTGCGCTCCCCTGCTAGAACCTCCAAACAAGCTCAAGATGCACTTTTTTCCCCCCAACAAGAATGTTGGTGCGTCTTATACACTGAATACAGCCATTTTTGGCCTCCTGAAACCTCGCCCCGCACGTCCCGTTTTTCACAAAAATGGGGCCTGCAGAGTGCTCCTGGGGGCTGGGAAGGGCAAAAACGTGACACATGGGGGGTTTGGAAGGCTGAAAATGGGCCCATTTTTCAAAAAAATGGGAGCGTTTTTGCCCTCCCCAGCTCCCAGGAGCACTCTGCAGGCCTTCCAAACCCTCTGTGCATCCCATTTTTCGCAAAAATGGGGCGTGCAGAGGGTTTGGGAGGGCTGCAGAGTGCTCCTGGGGCCCAGGGAGGGCAAAAACTTTTTTTTCTTGTTTACCTCTTTGAAATCTTGGTGCATCTTATACTCCGATGAGTCTTATTGTCCGAAAAATACGGTATTAATTCCCCTTGAATTGGCAACTGTAAAGCACAAAGGAAGACTGATATAAGACATAAATAGAACAGGCTGAAATTCCACCTGGGCCACCTTTTTCCTCTTGTTTGAGGACAAAGAGCATAGTGTAGTGGTATGTGGAGAAGACCTTGGGAGATAGGGGAAAAAGATGCAACCTAGGGAATGGTCAGATAAGAGATAGCATAGCCCACATATGGATAATGGGCAAGACAAGAGGCTCAGAAGGCACCCTTCTGCTTTAAAGTTCATTCCCAATCTCTAAAATATGTAACAATTTTGTTGGACGGGTCTTCTCTGCTGTGAAGAGTGAGAAACAAAAAGAATGTTGAAATGGTTACACCAAACCTTTCTAAGATAAGGATGTTAGCACATTCATGGTGCTTTGAGCAACAGGTTTAGAAAGTCACTGTGGTTACGTCACTTTGGTTATGTTGGTGTCACAGTGGTTAGAATGCAGTACTGCAGGCTACTTCTGCTGACTGCCAGCTGCCAGCAGTCAGTTCGAATCACATCGGTTCAAGGTTGACTCAGCCTTCCTTCCTTCTGAGATCGGTAAAATGAAGACCCAGATTGTTGGAGGCAATAGGCTGACTCTGTAAAGTGCTTAAGACAGGGCTGTAAAGCACTATGAAGCAGGGGTGAAATGCTCGCGGTTTGGACCAGATCACCCGATCCGGTAGCGATGGAGGCAGGTGGTTCGGAGAACCGGTAGCAAAAATCCCTGCACACACCCCCCCATTGCCCAGCTGAGCCACGCAATCATCAAAGGTTTTTTTATTTTATTTTTAAAAGCATTTTTTCTACAACCTCTTTGGCCGAAAAAATGCTTTTAAAAGTAAAAAAAAAAAAAAGCCTCTGATGATCGTGCGGCTCAGCTGGGATCATCAGAGGCTTTTAAGAGCATTTTTTCTACAACCTCTTCGGCCGAAGAGGTTATAGAAAAAATGTTTTTAAAAGGAAAAAAAGCCTCTGCCGATCAGGCAAATCAGCTGGGATTGTCAGAGGCTTTAAAAGCATTTTTTTTACAACCTCTTCAACCGAAGAGGTAGTAGAAAAAATGGTTTTAAAAGTAAAAAAAAAAAAAGTTGGCCACGCCCACTCAGTCATATTACACACACCCCAAGCCACGCCCACAGAACCAGTAGTAACAAATTTTACATTTCACCACTGCTGTGAAGCGGTATATAAGTCTAACTGCTATTGCTAGTGCTATAGTCCGGCCGATAATGTGTGTTCCCCCTTGATAGATATGTTTGACTCCCCCAAAATAAAGTGCATGTATCCCATTTTACTCTAGGTTAACACCTTCTGTGCCATTTACCACTCGAACCCTTGACAAAGAAACAGTCCTTGGGGATTATGCGCTTCCAAAAGGGGTAAGTGACTTCCACCACATACTGCAAATGCTCCATTTGTTTTGATTAAATGGTTGAATGCATAACCTGTTTTTCAACCAACAACAGCATTTTTATAAACTGTGATTAACCTTATATCTTATCACACTTACTGGCATGTCAACGGTTGAGAGAGGTCCTGCACAGCATGGCCGGATCTCATAAATAAAATGCTTAATCTTCTTTATGTCTTGATACATGCCAAGCATAGCGTTGCAATTGCTTTTAAATCTCAAACACCTCTTAGATATACAGGTAGTGACTAAAAAATGTAGGCCTTAAATACCCCCAAACATTATTTTTACATCTCCTGGTAGCACCTTCTCACATGATTTGTTTCCATTATGAGCTAGGAATACACACAGCCTGTAATGTAAGATTTATACTGAATTTAACATAGATTAAGCAAAAGAAGAAGAAAACCATCCTTTTATCCCTCACTCCCCAAATTGCAGAAAAAAATATCCTTACTTTATCCATATGTATGACACCCAGTTTTATCCGTTTCAGCCTCTACTCACCCACAAAATATTGTCTGTGACTTCTTGCTATCAAAAAAATATATAATATCCAGTTTTCTTGATCAGATAACCGCAATTTTTTCTGACATGGATTTATTTATTAGATTTATTAGGTCACCCTATCGCAAGCATATGACTCTGGGTGGCTATTTTTAAAAACAGAAAAGATGAAATAGAACAACAGAGAAAATTACAAAAACATTACACTTGTGGCCTCAGACTCAAAGACTTTACTAAGATGCCACTGAGCAAACTGTGAGATATCCTTCAGTATATTTTATTTATTTTAAATTCTCCTCAGCCAGCATTCATTGTAACCCCCATCATTGTGGGGGTTATTTGGGAAAATTGAATAATGACAGCTGCCTTGATATCCATGTTGCTTTATAGTGGCTGTGTTAACATAATATCCTTAACCAGTTTATTCAAGAACTTATCAACAACATTCTACCTGGTTAGAGTTAACTTGATGAAGATAACGATTTTTGTCTTTTGCAAGCTAAGGTTGTTTGATTCAAGGCATTGAATGAATTCAGAAAATAAATTAATTCAGTAAGCAGATTAATTGTCCCATATGAACATGATCAGTATATATAAGCAGACATTTAACCAGCCCAGCTCCTCCCTGAACCCCAATGTAGTAAAGTTATTGGGGAGAAGAAAATCATTTGTTGATAATTCAGCGATCTGCCCAGTAAAATAATAAAACATATTTTCACATCATTGGCCTTTTTAAAATTTTTATCTTAAATTATAAGGCCTGATCCTGATCTCTTAGAGGTGTGGAAAGCTCTGGTTTCTGTAGCATTACTTAACAGGCTTGAAGTCTGGCTCCTACACAAGTTAAATCTCATTAAACTTGTCTTTAAAAAGGGGAAACGCCCCTGTATTTTTCTCCCTAAGAATGCCATTTCTCCAAAGAACTAAAATCCTGCCTTTTTAAAAATTCAGTGGAAATATATCTTCATTGCAAGAAGTTTTGAAAATTCTTGTCATGATTTTCTCTTCTTGTTAAATTCGATATTTCCTTTGGATTGTGATACATGTCTACTTCAGGTTCAGCATCAATGTTTTGATATAGGCAACTTCCTTGAGTCTCCCCAACCAAAATATGTCCATGTTCCATTCGCTTGACATTTTTCTCACTGCTTTGTAAATACACTTTGTGTATTTGTGTTTGCATTTACAGACTGTGTTGATGATTAACACTTACGCTCTGGGATGCAATGAAGAATATTTCAGTAACTGGAGTGAATTTCAACCAGAGCGTTGGTTGCAAAAAACCATCCATCCATTTTCTCACGCTCCATTTGGCATTGGAAAAAGAATGTGTGTTGGGCGTCGACTGGCAGAGCTGCAACTTCAGCTAGCTCTCTGTTGGGTAAGCATTCATTTATTTTAGATACAACTCTCTCCCCCATTAATCCGAACAAAAGAGAAATCATTCTAGAAAGAAACACTTAAAGAAGGACTAGGGGAGACATGATAGTAGTGTTCCAATATCTCAGGGGCTGCCACAAAGAAGAGGGAGTCAAACTATTCTCCAAAGCACCTGAGGACAGGACAAGAAGCAATGGGTGGAAACTAATCAAGGAGAGAAGCAACTTAGAACTAAGGAGAAATTTCCTGAGAGTTACAACAATTAATCAGTAGAACAACTTGCCTGCAGAAGTTGTGAATGCTCCAACACTGGAAGTTTTTAAGAAGATGTTGGATAGCCATTTGTCTGAAGTGGTGTAGGGTTTCCTGCCTAGGCAGGGGGTTGGACTAGAAGACCTCCAAGGTCCCTTCCAACTCTGTTATTCTATTCTATTCTATTCTATTCTATTCTATTCTATTCTATTCTATTCTAGCAGAAATGTATTCCATTGTAATGGAATGTAGGGATGACCTTGGACAACGAGGGAAAAGAGATGCTACCGAGAGAATGGTGAGACAAGAGAGGGAGGAACCCCACAGTCACTTAATGGTCAGAGAAGAAAAAAACTTAAGAAAGATCTGCCTCAATTGATCAGACAGTTAAAAGTGATGGTAGGAAATTTGCACTTTCACACTTGCAAGTGGCCTTGCAGTAATGTGGAATTAACTCTTCTAGTTGTGTTTCTTATCTGGTTTACCTGGAAGAGCTGACATCCATATAAGTTATCTTCTCCACTGCAATTTTGTTAATCCCCAATGATATTTCACTTGAGAGACAGAGATCTGGGAGCCTAAAGCTTTTTTTTTTTTTTTTTTCAAAAGCAGGGAATATAGCAGCTTTGTATGTACCATAGCAATGCTTGAGCTTAATGTTCTTCTTCAGGCATGGCCAGATGGAAAGATGCACGTATGCTTCTGCTTTGGTTTTGCATTCATCACAGTTCACTACATCAATTGAATCCAACAAGGGTGATGAATCTTAATGAGGATTAGAAGAAACAAGCCACACTTTCCAGACACAGATTACAAAATTGGCTAGTTTTCACAGCTCAAGATTTAAAGGTAGAAAACTTAGCTGTGATTAATTTCCAATGGGTGAAGAAACTCTCAGTTTCCCTCCTTGTTATCACCCTGAAGCAGGGGTCAGCAACCTGCGGCTCTGGAGCCGCATGTGGCTCTTTGGGCCCTGTGCTGTGGCTCCCTGTCAGATGATCCCACCTCTGGCTGGCCCCACCCCTCACCCTCCCCTTCCAGTCACTCCTCACCTGGCCTGAGAAGGTAAGGGTGACGGTGGGGGATGGAGAAGCGGCCAGGGCAGAGACAGAATGATACAGAGGGAGGGAGGGAGAGAGAGATACAGAGAGAGGGGGGGGAGGGAGGGAGGGAGGGGAGAGAAAGATATGTCAAAAGAATTTTGTTCCCAGTGTTTTCTAACAACTGGTTCTCTGCCCTAATGACTGGCTGGGTAGGCATGGCTGGGGGGGGGGTCATGTGACTGGTGGAAGTGAGTGACATTAGGTTGGCCATGCCCACCCAGGTTTTGTGGCTCCCAGTGTTTTCTTTTCTGTGGGAAATGGGTCCAAATGGCTCTTTGAGTATTTAAGGTTGCAAACCCCTGCCCTGGAGGATGGAAGAGCAGAGAATGCAAGCTTTTTGTTTTATTAAACTCAGGGGTTGATTCAGCTGGGTTGGACCAGTTCGGGCTAACCGGTAGTTCTGACGATCAGCTGGCCCTGCCCACCCGCCCCCACCCTATCCTGTCCTATATTTCCTTCTTTCTGGCTCAGCTGATTCGTGCGGCACAGCTGATTTCCGCACTTCTGCTGTTCTACTTACCGGGGCTGCCTTAGAAGTTAAGCAGCTGAGCTTCAAATTGCTGTATTTTGAATGCTGTGCGCAAGCGCATTAGGCATGCACATGCACGCAAAGCACACACTCAATGAACCAGTTGTTAAACAGGTTGCATCCCACCACTGCTTAAGCTAATTTATTAAAATATTAGTGGAAGTTTATTACAATCTTTAATACATCAACACTGATTTTTTAAAAAGTTATAGAACAGTTTACAGATGTTCTTCCATGAATTATGAGGGCCAGGATCTCCTGAGAAACAATCTGTTCAAAGTTTTTCTGGGCAAGCTGTACTGGAACAACTGAAAGGGTACATTGGAGCAACTTTTTCCTTTGTACTGGAGAGTGAATTGTCTTTTTGACAAGATGAACATCCAATTTTCATTAAATCCAGGAGGAGGACACTCTTTGCAAAAGATCTTCAAACAGAGGCGGGATGACCATCTATCAGAGATGCTATAGCGATCCTGCACTCAACAATGGATTGACCCATAAGATCCCTTCCAGTTTTAGGGTTCTGGGATTCTGTGTTAGCCTTCCAAAGGAGAAGCGACCAAATGAAAGCATTACTACAATCCTTCTGACCTTTAAAAAAAAAAAATTGCTTATTTCTCTTACTGAAAGGGATGAACTTTTCAAAGCCTTATGAACTTTGCTGTATCATCTTTTCCTGCTATTGCTGCCTGTGGGGTTAAACTTTGACACAGACACTGACAAGTTCCCCAGCTCAGAATTAATCTTGATTACAGGTTGGGGAGGCTCTGATGAACTTCATTTTCTCCCTTGTATTACAGCTTATACGGAAGTATCAGATTGTAGCTACTGACAACAAGCCGGTAGAAGCTCTTCACTTAGGAATCCTCATCCCCAACCGAGAACTTCCGATTGCATTCAAACGACGCTAAGGTAAAAATTAGTGTCCCATTATGGAGTTAATTATATGTTTAAGGTGATCTTTAAAGGTCAAAAACAAAGACTCTTCAGAGATGAAATGAGGATGACTGGCAGCTGTTAAGAGTACCTACTTGTAATTCTACTTGCATGGTTTTGAAAAAGAAATTTTTAGCCCTCATGATTGCAGAGAGATGGTGAAAGAAAAGAAAGGAGGAAAACAATGCAATTTGTCCTACATTTTGAAAACATATGCAAACACAGATAAACATTTGGGCCATGATAGACATCCATTTTGTCAAGTACAGAATCCATCTCCAAGTGCACTAATTGAATAATTAAAAGATTTAAATTACTTAAATGTGATATATGGACTGAAGGTTCCTCGTGCGAATACACGTGTGCTAAGAATGAAATAAATAGGACATTTGAAAGTTCCATTTTGATCAGTTATTTTTTTATATTTGGCCACTAAGGCCTTTGATTAAATCTATTGGTAATCAAAAATACTAGTATAACCGTTTCCCTTTTCTTCCTGAACTGAAGAATTTATTAAGTTGTCTCTTTGTTTTCCCATAGATTCTACTGGAGGAACAGCTGACATTTTCGTTAGACAGCAAGCATTCTTGAATTTTGGATTCCCAGATCCTGCTAGAGTCTAGTTATATTTTGAGCAATGTGTGTGTTAACAGCAAGGACAGAACAGCAGGAATCCAAAGCTAGCTTGAAGGCAAATCAGTCAAGCTATGTTGAGCGCACCTAAGCAGTCACTTCACATTATTGTAAAAGCTACACCCATTCCAAAGGTGGAAGAATGGCAGAATTACAAACTTGGCAGTTCTTTTCACCTAAACTTGGGATGAAAGAAAGGTCCATTCTCCTCCATCTGCTGCTGTGAAATGTACAGTTCTCGACCCATGCTGTTAATGTTTGTAGGAGAACAATGATCGCAAAGTGATGGAATGACTGAGTCTCTGAGTTCATGCTTGACCTTAGGATTGGAAACACTGGAGGAGAAATTTTGTTTTGCCCGTGCCCAAGTTCTGATGGAACTTTAAATGAAGACCTTTGTCTGCAAGAGGGTGAACGACGTGATTGCAAAGGGATGGAAAGTATTCTAGGGGGTGGACCATGTTAGATGTCCATAAAGGGAAAGAATGGCAGTAATAGAAGTGCTATCTGAAGGGCTGTATTTGAAAAACCAAGTAGGTCTGGTTCTTTCTAATGTTACTTTGTTACAACTGTTGGCGCCTTGAGCAAACTCATCAACTATATATGGACAAATATCATACATACAAACACGCACGCACTCACTCACACAGAACCTTTCAGGCAGACAGAACAATGAGTCACATTACAGAATGCAGACCACCCAAACTGTTATGAGCCCTTCAAGGTGATGTGTACTTCGGAGACCGGAACAAATAACTTATGCTTGGACAGAGTGAGCTGTACACTTGATGACTCCATCTAGGAGGTGAATAAGATCATAGAAGCAGACCGGTACAATTTTATTTTCCACCAAATCAAAGCCAGCTCCTAAATTATTTGTAGCAGTCCAACAACTTTTCCTGTAACTTTTTCCTTTTGCTAACTGAAAACTTGAGGCCATCATTAGGTATATCGATGCAACTTAAAGGGCAGATATTATGGGGTGCAATGGCAAGTCTAGATATTCCCTTCTCTCCAATATAGACATTCGTATAACCTGTCCTCCACCTTTTAAGCTGTTTATCAGCTTTCATGTGTGGATGGTAGCAGAGGGAGATGGGGTGCTATCTTTTCTTTTGCCACAAATCAACACTATGTCTTGGATTTGTCAGATGTGATGATCGTGATCTTTTAACTGCCTTTAAATCAAGAGTAAACAAATTCTTTGGTACAATGTTGTAAGAGTTCCATGCAGTTTGTTCATCTCTGAACAGAGAGCAACAAAATATGATTCATTTTGCACCTGACTTTCATGTCTGTGAGCTGCCACTGTTGGAAATAGGATGCTACTCTGTTTAGACAATCAGTCCAGCAAGGTTCCACCTAAGTTTCCAAATTCACACTAATATGTCACAATTTATGCAGAATGGAACATCAGTATTACAGCATTCCATAGGATTCAAGGATTATAGTTCCTGGGTATTTTCTTGTATTCCTTTTGATACAGTTTCCTTCTTATTTTGTTTTTACGTGTTTTTAGTTGTATTTTTTTTTAAAGTAAATGTGTTTTTTAAGATCTCTGTATTTTGAAGAGTTTTTCATAGCTTATTTTTTTGTTTTGTTTTTTAAAAACAAATTTAGACATCCATTTAATTGTTGATATTTAAACCCACTGTTCTGAGAATTTTGTAATAAAAAAAAAATGTGGATATGATTTTTTTTATTTTCATTGAATGTAATCCGTGTCGAGTATCTTCAAGATTAGCAGCCTTTATAAAGATTTTTAATGGAAATTACTTGTAGTTGTGGTGCTTTCTTCTATTCAAAATGGCTTTGCACTGAATGCAAGTTTTGTACAGCATTATGAGGTTGTAATTTCTTTAAAAATATTTTCCCCTAAAATCTAAACGAGCCCAGACACCTTTCACAAATCCAAATCTCATTTCAAAAACCAACAAGTCAGCATAACACAAATACAACCCCCCCACCCAAAATTAAAACTGTTTCATATAATCGAACTACCGTAATACATCATTATACTGTATATTATACATCTTTGGAACATCTTGCCCACCGATCTCTGAAACATCTTGTCCAAACTTCCTCTCTGTTTGGAAGGGCCTAAAGACATGACTCTGCCAATTGGCTTGTAACCCCAGTGGGGGAACAGTACAATGGAGGTGGTTTATTGAGTAATAATAGATCTTACCTTCCCCCACTTGACTCCCATTCTCTCTCTGTGTCTGATTTTAATTTTTTATGTATTAATGTAGATACATTTTTTACGACTGGAAGCCACCCAGAGTTACCATATGTAGGACTGTCTTAACGCATGGATCTGATGCAGGGGTGGGTTCTACTTATCTTACTACCAGTTCGCAACGGGAGTGCGCACATGCACAGATCATCCACAATGATGTACGGGTGGGTGGGCGGAGCCTCCCGCCAGTTTTACTACTGGTTCGGAAGAACCAGACCGAACCAGGAACAACCCATCTCTGGCCTGATGGGCACTTGCCCATAGGCCCCACAAGCATAGGGGCCCCATACTAATCTGTGTATGCTAACCCTTCAATACACCTTGTATCATATAAATACATCAACATATTTATTACATTTTACTGCATTTTTTTATTAATACTAACATGCAAATATATGTTTAATTTTATTGACCATTTACATTTTAATTCCTGTGAGTAGTTGTCTTAGGGGCCTCAGTACACTGCTTTGCCCGGGGCCCATAATGCTGTTAAGACAGCCCCGGCCCTATTGGTGGCCAATAAATTTTATAAATAAATAAATAATCAGAAAAATACTCTTGTATGCTTGAGAAAGAGAATAGCCAAATTTGGAATAGGGTATAGAAGTGGGAAAAAGTTGGGGGAAAGAAGAAGTCAAGCACTTCACCTCCATTCCTAAAACTCTTTGTTAGCACAGCCCTATCAAAGATAACTTCTTTGAGTAGGAGCTAAAGTTCTCAATCATAAAATTGCACTCCATGCTCCAGTTGTCATTTTATGAACATTTGGAAAAATCAGGAGAAATGTAGGCTTTCTATGCCATTGTGTCTTTTTGTGTCTTTATGAATCTCTAAAGCTTTGGAAGATCAGAAGTTTGGTCTTGATCTGTTTCAAAAGAATCCTCCTTCAATTAGCATATCCAAGAAATCTATCCAGTTCTGTTCAATTGAGTTCAGATTTAGGATTGGCCTGAATCCAATATATATCTTTTGCAAACTTTGAGGTGTTCCAAGCTATTTCTTTACCCCGCCTATAATTTGTGGATTACCACCATTATACCATTCTGTGGTTTCCATATACAGTTTGTTCAATGTTTCCAAATCAGAACTGAAATATTAGTTAATATTCTGGCTGAAAAAAAAAGAGGAAGTATTCCTAGGATGCGTATTGATGTCACTGAAAATTGGACATCAAGCAGTAACTCTATAACTTTATAACTTAGTCTAGCTCATAAACACATCTCTCAAATATGTTGAAATGATCCTCAATTTACAACCACAATTGTGAACCAGAATTTCCATTGCTAAGCAAGGCAGATGTTAAGGGAGTCACGCCCAACTTTATAACCTTTTTTGCCATGATCGTTTGCATAATCATTGCAGTTTTTAAGTAATTTCCACAGACCTTATGTGAATCTAGCTTCCCCCATTAACCTTGTCAGAAGCTGGCTGGGAAAGTCACAAATGAAATCTCCTGACCTGGGACATTGCAACATAATAGAATAGAATAGAATAGAATAGAGTAGAGTAGAGTAGAGTAGAGTAGAGTAGAGTAGAGTAGAGTAGAGTAGAGTAGAGTAGAGTAGAGTAGAGTAGAGTAGAGTAGAGTAGAGTAGAATGCAGAGTTGGAAGGGACCTTGGAGGTCTTCTAGTCCAACCCCCTGCTTAAGCAGGTTACCCTACACCATTTCAGACAAACCACCATTTCAGAGATTCATTCAATCTCTTCTTAAAAACTTCCAGTGTTGGAGAATTCACAACTTCTGGAGGCAAGTTGTTCCACTGGTTAATTGTTCCAACTGTCAGGAAATTTCTCCTTAGTTCTAGGTTGCTTCTCTCCTTGATTAGTTTCCACCCATTGCTTCTTGTCCTGCCTTCAGGTACTTTGGAGAATAGCTTGACTCCCTCTTCTTTGTGGCAGCCCCTGAGATATTGGAGCACTGCTATCATGTCACCCCTAGCCCTTCTTTTCATTAAATTAGACATACCCAATTCCAGCAACCGTTTTTATATGTTTTAGCCTCCAGTCCCCTAAACATCTTTGTTGCTCTTCTCTGCACTCTTTCTAGAGTCTCAACATCTTTTTTACATCGTAGTGACCAAAACTGGATGCAGTATTCCAAGTGTGGCCTTACCAAGGCATTATAAAGATCAAACATCACTTGATCTTGATTCTATCCCTCTGTTAATGCAGCCTAGAACTGTGTTGGCTTTTTTGGCAGCTGCAGCACACTGTTGGCTCATATTTAAGTGAATGTCCACTAAGACTCCAAGATTTCTCTCACAGTTGCTACTATTTAATTCATGCTGGTTGCCAAGCATCTCAATTTTGATCACATGCTATGGGGATGCTGGGACAATCATAAGTGCAAGGACTGGTTGTAAATCACCTTTTGCAGTGCTTCTGTAACTTTGAATGGTTGCTAAATGAGTGGCTGTAAATCAAAGACTACCTATGTTTGGGTGTACACTGTTATAATTTTAAACTGTTTTAATTGGGCTGTTGATTTTAATTTAATTTTATTGTGATTTGTATTGGGAATTGTCATTTTGTAAGCCGCCTTGAGTCTCTCGGGAGAAAGGCGGCATATAAATCACAATAATAAATAAATAAATAAATAAATATATTGGTCTGCCTGGTTTGATATGCTTCTCTATGGAAGAGCAGTTCACTTTCCAGAGTCTGGTTATGGTTTTCCCAGATATTTCACCCCTGAAATATTACACACTGAATGTGGATCCTTACCAGTAAATATATTCTTTTTTCATCTAGTAGTTAATTCATGGATAAGTCATAGTGTCTCAAGAGTATATAAACAAAACTTATTCACCCCATGAGCCACTAGTGAGTTGGTAGGCAAACCTAGTCTCAGAAGTGTGTAATGCTAACACTGTAAGTAGGATTTTGCATTAGAGAGGAAAAAGATAAGTGCTTAATATAACATTCAAATGAGCTGAGGCTAGGGAAGACTTCAGAAATACTGTAAAGAGGGCTTACTCAGATATAGTTACAGTCAAAGGAAAATATTTTTTAAAATGCTTTATCCTAATTAACTATGAAGAGTTCATGAAAAATCCATTCAAGGAGAGAAGCAACGTAGAGTTAAGGAGCAAATTCCTAATGGTTAGAGCAATTAAACAATGGAATAGCTTGCCTTCAGAAGTTGTGATGAATGTATCTTTTCTTTTATGTATACCGAGAGCATATGCACCAAGACAAATTCCTTGTGTGTCCAATCATACTTGGCCAATAAAAAATTCCTATTCTATTCTATTCTATTCTATTCTATTCTATTCTATTCTATTCTATTCTATTCTATTCTATTCTATTCTATTCATTTTTAAATTTATATACCGCCCTTCTCCCTGAGGACTCAGGGCGGTGTACAGCCAGAATTAAAAAACATGAAATACAAATATTAAAAAACAATTAAAATATATATAAATTTGGCCCAAAATTAAAAATACAAACCAATTAAAACATTTAAAATTTCTTCTTAAACCAGCCCGGCTTGCTGGAAAAAGTGGGTTTTAAGGGCACGGCGGAAGGCACTAAGGTCTTGGATTCTCCTTATCTCTGGGGGCAACTGATTCCAGAGGGTAGGTGCCCCCACAGAGAAGGCCCTCCCCCTGGGGGTCACCAGCCTACATTGATTGGCTGATGGCACCCTGAGGAGGCCCTCTCTGTGGGAGCGCACGGGATGATGGGAGGTTGTCGGTAGCAGCAGCTATTCTATTCTATTCTATTCCATTCCATTCCATTCCATTCTATTGTGGGTGCCCATCACTGAAGACTTTCAAAAAGAGACTGGACAACCACTTCTCTGAAATGGCATAAGATCTCCTGCTTGAGTAGGGATTTGGACTAGAAGACCTCCAAGGTCCCTTCAATTCTATTATTCTATGTTCTATGTTCTTCAAGGACATTTTTTTAAAATCATAACTTATTCAAATTTTGATTCAAATATTTGTAAGAGTATGCATAACCAAACAAAGAATTACTAGAAGAGAGGTATCTCAGCTAAAGTATGATACTCATAAATTACCTATTGACTTAGCTTTGATTAGATTCCACCTTGAGTACTCTGACCATTTCTGGACATCACATTTTTGGAACACTTGGAAAAGGTAATAAGCATGATCAGGAACCAAAGATGAAGAGAAATGGAAGGGGTATAATAGCAGTCTTCAAATTCCTGAAAGAATGTTTCACAGAAAATAATTCTCTTTTATTCTGGAATATAGTACAAGCGGCACCGTGGCCTAGAGATGAAGACGCTCACCTCCCACTCGAAAGGTTGAGAGTTCAATCCTAGGCAGTGACAGATGTTTCTGTATCAAGGTACAAAGGGAAAATATCTGCTGCAAACTCCATGTAGGCGTCAGGAAGGGCGTCTGGCTAGTAAATTCTTAGCTCCATTCAGTTACCCTAAATTCACCCCAATAAAATGGATTACAGGTTTGTAAAAAGAAAACAAAATCTGGAGTATAGGACATGGAATTTAAGTTACAAGAAAGCAGATTCCAACTGAATGTTGGGGATAAAAAAAATAAGTT